GAATGCCAAAGCTAAGGAAAATTCCGAGAATAAAGAGAAAAAGACAAGAAAATGGAAACTTTTAGATAAACGAAAAGTAACATAGAATTGATGCAAGAAATCCAACATTCAACCAACATAAGTCACACGAAGAAAAAACAGAGACGAGGAATTGTCAAAATAAAGTAGAAAAAGGATAAATTTTTCCAAGCTAAAGAGAGATTTGACTTTAATGTAAAAGAACCCAAAGCATCAAACAGACTATATGAAAAAAAGGCCCACATTCAGACACATAGCCCTAGAGTTTCAGAGCAACAAGGATAAGGACCACACCAGAAAAGTTTCCAAAAAGAAAACTGAGGCATATATCAAGGAACAGGATTTAGACAACCAGGAGAGATGGCCTGAGTTCGAATCCCAGCTCTCACACATGGCAGGTGCATGATCTCGGGCAAGTCTTTCTGGGCCTCAGTTTCCTCATCTGCAAAATGGGGGTTATGGCAGTATCATAGTGTTGTGGGAGAGTAACTGAATTAATTTAGGTAAAGAACAGTGCCCAAAGCCAATCATAGTCAGTGCCACATTCATCTTTGTTGTTATTAAAAAGAAAGAAAAACAAAACCAAGAAGAAAAGTCAGTTATTATTTGCCAAGGACATTGTGATTTCCTGTCCAGCATTCATTTCCCTTCCCCCACTGTGGAGCAGCTGTGTGACTCCATCCATTAGCCTCAATCAATTATCCCAATCCGTCAAACCATAGCTCTGGGATGTCTAAAGTAATCCAATAAGAGAAAGCTCAGGGCTTTTGCTCAGTGGCTAGGGCAGGAAAGGCTTTCCTCGTGCTTTCTTCCTGCTGTAGATCCCAGAGGCTATGAGGGAAGCCATCACAAGGGGAGGGCAAGGCAAAGCGCCATGATCCAACTGTGCCTGAAGTCCACACAACTGCCTGACTTTTGAATGATGTGAGCTAAGCTCCCTTTATTGTTTAAACCTATTTGAGTTGGCTTTTTTTCGTTATGTCCATCCAAACGCACACTCCCTGAGATATTCTATCCAGAGCCTCCGGGCCAGGCCCAGCCTTGCACAGTTGTTACCTGGATGATGTAAGACAATGACAAGCCTCTGGACGAAGCACTGATTGAGGAGAAACTCAGGGTCACCAGCAAGGCCACAATGAAGGTGACGATGTTCATGAGGAAATCCATCCTTAGGGCAAACCACCTGAGAGCACAGTTGAAGTAGAGGAGGTGGCTGGAGTTTCTGTCATTTAGCATCTTAAACCTAAAATTAAGAAAATTAGATAAAGTAGAAGATCCGCTTGTGCTTCCATAGACTTGGGGTTGGGCTTGGAGAAGTGAGGCAAGGGAAGGTTTAATCAGTAGCAGACGCTCACAGAAGGTAGCATGCAGCTATACGTATCTACGCTCTTTACATCTGCCACCGCGGACACCTTTGATTCGCACGTGTTCTGAGAAATCCCACGCGGCAGCGGAGTGTGGCGCTAAGTGGGCTCTTCCTGTCTTTCCCAGAACTGACAACGGGAGCCCGCCGCTGGGAAGAAAAGGCGCCGAGGACCTCGCACTCAGCCAAAGGACCCCGCCTCGGAGTCAGCCACTCCGCAGAGGCCGTGGAGCTGACAGCCGGTCCCCTCGCTCTACAAGGAGGGAGGCAGTGTGGCGTGGAGCAGATCGCCTTTAGAGGAGGGCAGGAGCCGCGTGCCTGGCTCCCCGCCCTGTATCAGAGATAGAAGTTTCGAGATAACTGCTTGTCAAGCGGGGAGTCTCCCCACGGAGAGGAATCTGGCATCTTGTTTCCCTGCCGCGTGTCCCCTAAGCCAGAGGGCTTGCTGAGGGGAGGGGCACACGCAGGGTGACGGAGGGATGCCACAGCCAGGAGACGGGCGGGACCCACCCTGGAGTTCATCCTCTGGGAATGAGCGGCTCCTAGAGCGGAGAGCGCAGAGGGAAGACGACATCTGGGGCTATGGTCTTCCTCGGCGTGAGGCAGGGGCCGCCACGGCACACGGACGCAGCGTGAGGGCTGCCGGCAGAACCCACTGAAGATGCAGCGAGTCTCACTCACGCAGCAATGCCCAGCAGAGCTGCGGGGCTCTGGGCCCGCTGGGGCCCGACTGCCGTTCCCCGCAGCGATGGAGCAGACACAAGGAAGCGGGTGGCGGCTGCCTGAGCCTGTGTCCTGCCCGCCCTCCCCGTTCCCCTGGCCAGCCCCTGAGGACCAGGCTGAGAGAGAAGGGAGAGGGGTTTAGGGGAACAGGCCGGTGCTCCCCACTGCAAGCCCGCCCCCCAACACACACCACATGCGCACTCACACGCACACACACATGTACACACGCGCACACAGCACACACGCACGCATACACACACATGCACATGTGCGCACACGCATGCACAGCACACACACACAGCACACACACCACACACAGGTGCACAAACGCACACACACCACACGCGCGCACACATGCACACACAGCACACACACGTACACATGCACACATGCACACATACCACACACAGGCGCACACACAGCACACACGCGCACACACGCACACACACAGCACACACATGCACACACACAGCACACACACGCATGCTCACAGCACACATGCATGCACACACAGGCACGCACATGCACGCACACCACACACGCGCACACACACAGCACACACATGCACACACACAGCACACACATGCACACACAGCACACACGCACGCACACATGCACACACACCACATAATACACACACATGCACACACAGGCACACACACGGGCACACACACGTACGCACACCACACACATGCACACACACGCGCACACACATGCACATGTGCGCACACAGCACACACACGCACATTCACAGCACGCACGCACAGCACACACCACACACGCGCACACACACAGCACACACATGCACACACACAGCACATATGCACACACACCACATAATACACACACACGCACACACGGGAGCACACACACACATTCACAGCACACACGCACAGCACACGCACACGCATGCACACACGCACAGCACACGCGCACACGCACACACACATGCACACACACACACAGCACGCACAGCCTTGCCACACCAAGCCTCCAAGGGGAACAGAAAGCTGTGACTTGAACATATTCAAGACTGAAATTTCAACCGGACTGAACTAACCATTAACCAAAGGAGACATCAGATTCGACCTCCACCGAGGGGTCCCTCACCCAGTGGGAAAGAGGCTTCATCAGAACAACTGGTAGAAATTATCGGGAAAAAATAAAAACCTTTCAGAGTTTAACCCCTAGGGAGTGACAGTCCCTGGCCGGTCGTGAACGTTCTTGGGCATCGCTGCTCCGCCCCGTCCTGAGTCCTGCGAGGATCCGCCTGGGGGCACCTCTGGCCAGCGGCCTGGGCTGTACCACAGCCTCCTTCTTTCCGTTCCAATCTGACTTGCTTTCCCCAGAGCTCAGTCCAGATACTCTTCCCAACACTGTGTTGTTCTGTCATGCAGCCCTGCGGCCTATAAATTCAACCGACAGCTTAAATGGCTTAGAAGTCATCTCCCTTCTTTCTCATCTGTGTGGTCGGTTAGCTTGTGCAGAAACAAAATCACCAGCTGAGATCAAATTGGAAAGTGACCTCAAATCTTTTCTATTTTTAATGCTGCAGCAATTTTTGTCGGTGGCAAAAGCCATACACATCAGGAAGCCCAAGCCCTCTGGAAAGAAAATATTAAAAGAAGGGGAAGCCCCTTCATCCTGCTCGGCTTTCTGTGGGATTCTCCTGGGAATCTTGGAGGAAGACCTGCAGGAACACAAAGCTTGGATTTGTTTTTTTGCCATGGGTGAGTAGACGAACAGCCCGGGGACTCTCCCCATGGCCAGGACATCGGAAGGCTCTACATGAGATACAGGACTCTGGACAAATGACGTTCAGATCACACTAGGAACAGGACTAGCCGCTGACTGAACTAAAGACAAGTTGTGACGTCACATTACACTGAGATTCTGGGTGGTGATGTGGGAGAGCGAGAGACAAAAATTAGATGCAAACATTGAGGAGCGTGTTAGCTTTCTAAGGAAGGAAAAGACAGGAAAAAGAACATCTGTGTGGGACGGACTGCTACAGGGCCACCAAACTCCACTTCCTTGTCCTCCCGTGGACACGGCTGGACTCCATTTCCCAGCCTGCCCTGCACTCAGGTGAGCCCAGGGTCTGAGATCTGGCCAACCGATGGCAGGAATGTTGACACGCTTTGCTGGGGTTGAACCATAGAAATTTCCCATGGGTCCCCCTCCTGCCCTCTCCCCTTGTCTTCCAGATACACGCAGAGCGTCCTGGAGAAGACCCCAAGGCCTTTGGGATGGAAGAGCCCCAGACGGAAAGAGACAGTGCCTAGTGCAGGCCGAATCCCCACCCTTTTTCCCCACAGACCCTCAACAACTGTGCCTTGAGGAAGAATGAACATTCACCGTGTGAAGTCCCTGAGGTCCGGGGCTGTCACTGCGGCGAGCCTGCTGTCGCCGATACATTTCATGTTGAATTTTGTAGACGTCCAGAGAAATTTACTAATCTAGTCCCCACATTTTAAAAAGAAGGAAACACTAATTGAAGTGAAATGTGGCCTTTACAAATTATTTTGATGAAGAATATAAAATAATATGTCAAATGTTTGTTTTAAATGTTAAGTAAACTTTTAAAAAATGATTATAAATTCTTAAGAAAAAGAAAACCCCATGAATAGACCAACAAAAAAAGATTGGAAGGAAATATATGAAAATATTAATAGGATTGGGGTTTGGGACTTATGAGTGATTTTTTTTTGCTTTGCCCTATTTTCCTGAATTGATTTCTGATGGCGGAAGTCACATTCTGGGGCTGTCACTGAAGGAGCTCCGCTCACTCCCGTCTCCTGGGGCCCCAGGCTCTGGGAAGAGGCGTGTCCTGGCGCGCTCCTCCCCGCCTCGGCCAGCTCCTCCTCTGCGGCCAGTCCCAAAGCCCAGACTTCCCTCCCACAGCCAGAGACGCGTCTGTTCCTGCGCCTCCGGCTCAGGCTCAGGGGCCCGGCGCAGGGCTCACCTGCTGACGCACTCGTCCAGTTTGTCGTCGGTGTGGATGGCGCCCAGGCCCGGCATGCAGGAGGTGATGTGCGAGAGCCAGGGCGACCGGCTGACGTTCTCCACCTGCTTGAGCTTCCGGACGCCTCGGTGGAAAACGCTGCGGGAAAATTGACAGGTGCGAGGGCTCACAGTGCAGTCCCAGCGGGCCGGCCCGGCACGCGAGACCGAGTTTAAGGCAGAGACCCTGAGGCCTGGCTGGGGACGGGCCGGGTCGGCCAGTCTTCTCTGGGGTGCGGACCCAGGCGTGGGAGAGTCTGAGAAACCACAGTCTCCCCTTCGCGTGGTCTCACTCCTGCGTCTCATGGCAGGGATGTCTCGCTGCACGAGATGTGATTCCAGTCTTCAAAGACCAGAATTTCTTGCACGGCGCCGCCCCTGAGTAGAAGCCAACCACTTTTTGGTGCCCAGCTTGGGAAAAAGTGATCTGTTGTAACTCTGGAGGAAAACCCAGTGCATCCACTGGCAACGTGCAGCCTTTCTAAAGGCAACGCGAAGGTCATTTTGAACAAACATCACTATGTAATAGCCGCAGGAACTGACTTAAGACCAAACCCCCCACAGGGTGCCGCTCCCCTTCACGTGGGAACTCCGGGACCTCCGAGGCACACTAGCCGGCTGGCCCGTGAGAGAGAAAACGATCAGGCCTCCTGCCTCTCAGCTCAAACTAACTCCGGTGAACAAGGAGGGAAACCTCATGAGTTCAGAGCTCAAGCAAGTTGGTTGGAAACCTTTGGATAACTTGGCCAGGACCAGCTCTGGTCTGTCTTGTCTTGGGAGCAGGAATTGGGGAGCGCGGTGAGCAAGAGCTTTTGCTAAGTAAACCAACAGCACAAACAAGAGAACGGACAGGAGCAGTGTCAAACAGAGCGATTACAAAACTGAACACAAGCCCGGGGAACCCGTTTTGAGAACTGACATCCAGGACATGCTCGTATCTTTGTAAAGGACTTTCAGAAATGATTTTTATTTGGTCATCTCAATAAGCCCTTGAGTTTGGAGACGGAGGCCACGTGTTCCTTCTCGGAGACGCCACGGGGCCAGCGGGAGACTGCAGCGAGAGTCTCGCCCTCCTGACTCCGCGGGCACTGGTGCTACCTCCCACGGCCATGCCAGCTCCCAGAGGGGCCAGGTAACGGCTCTCCAGCCGCATCCCCCACCCACGTCTGCCGTGGTAGCCGGCGCCGTCTGCGCACTGGATGAACGGACTTGAAACACCCACAACGGAACCCGCGGTTTTCGTTACCCAACTGCTTCTCCTCCCGCCTCGGCACCGCCTTGGCCTTCTGCATCTCCCAGCACCCAAACTCCGCCAATCACGAAACCCTGACCACACTGCCCTGGACTTGGAGGCGGCTCTCGAGGCCATTCTTTTCTGTTCCTGCTTATGTTTGTTTGGTCCTCGTCACCTCACACAGACTGTACCTCGTAGCCGGCCCTGATCTTTGGGGGCTCCACCCTCCTCCACACTGTGGCCAAGGCAATATTTCCGAAGCCCGGATCTCAATGTGGTGTCCCTGGGCAAAAACAAACAGCCCTATTCACAGGCGGAGGCAGGTTCCGGGCTTATGGGCGGAAGCTTTTATAATTTGGGGGACTTTCTTTAAGATCCTCAATGTCCAGTCCAGGACTGGGCACATCTAGGAGCATAATAAATGATTGTTTTTTGTTACTGATTTTTATGGATACTCTTGCATAGCGCTTTAGTCCATTTTTAATCTGTAAGCGTGTAGTCTCATTTGAGCCTCGTGACGTGCTCTCTGAAACAGGTGAGGCGTGTACTTCAGTGTTCATCACTTTGGGGAGCGGACACTGAGGGGTGCAGCATTCCTCTGACGTCCCCAAGATCCCCCAGTGAGTTTTGTGGCAGAGCAGGAGCTGTAACGCAAAGTTTTCCGATTTGCAATGCTTTGCCCTCACTCAAGATCCACCATGCTCTCTGCTGGGAGCCCAGCTCACCCTAGGGATGGAGGGGCCGGGTCTGCTGGGAGGCTGGGATCATCGCCACCATCCTGCTTCTGCCAGGACGGGTGTGCACAGCCACGGCAAGAATCCCCTGCGCAAAGCTGCCTGGGGCCTTTCTCTAACCACGTCGATTTCTCAAAGCGCAGAGTGACCGAGGATAGGTCTCCTCTCTCTGCTCCAGCAGGAGGAATGACGCAGCCCCTGGTTAAGAAGATATCAGCAGACAGACAGCAATCCTGCTTACTAGTTTCCTGGCCTGCAACCAGCGCCTTAACCCCCAATAATTTCCACGTCTCAGGGTTGCTCAGAGGCTAGAATGCCAGATGTATGCAAAGCACTTAGCACAGCACCTGGCGTTTAGTAAGTGCTAAAAATCAATGTGCTTCTCCATCAGAGAAGACAGCAAGTGCTCGATATCACCTGACATGTACCCGGTCATCGTGCATAGTGAACCCTGTGTGTGTGTGTGTGTGTGTGTGTGTGTGTGAGAGCAAGCACATGTTGTTTCCTCCTTTTTAAATAGTGCATAGACCTACCGTAAAAGAATGAGGAAGACCACAGCAAAGCCGGCCACGACGAGAAAGACAGCAGGAAACACAGCAGCCAATACCACGAGAATAAATATCACCATAAAAAACTGCTGCAGAAAGTTGTCCGCGTGAAACGGCAGCCTCACATCCAGCTCGTCCATGTCTTTGGAAAAACGGTTCATTATCCTGCCAGTGGGAGTTGTGTCAAAGAAGCTCATTGGGCTCTTTAAGATCTGTGGATAAAGCAGAGAGTCTCCGACAAGTCAAGGCGCACGTTTGGTGAACCCCGGCTACCCTAGAATCGTGAGCACAGGGCCTGACCTTTTCTCCAGGGCACGAAGCATTGGTCAGGCGACCTTGAGAAAGGGAGAATGCTCCCTTTCTCGCAGCCAGCAGGAATGAGGGTGAATGCAGGAGATTCGGCCTCTGTGAGGAGGTCCAGGGAGAGCCCCCAGGGCAGGCCTGCCCCCCAAATCTGGGGGTGGGAGAGGCTGGTGCCTTTGGAGGAGGGAGAAATTTGGTGCCCCAGGGCAATAGGAAGCTAAGTTCCACTCAGTCTCTTTACCCCAAGGCGTGGAACCCACCGACACGCTGTGCCCAGGCCGCCCACGCCAGTGGCTGCCGCCCACCACAGCAGCAGAATGAGGAGGGGCTAGAAGTACCTCTCCGGGCCCCTGTTGTGCTCTGGGCTCTTTGGGGCAGGAGACGCCCTCTTGGCCTGCACAACTCTGCTCCAGAGTGGCCTCCTCCACCTCCACCCGCAGCCCAGCCTGAAGGCTGGTGACACACCCCACAGCTCCCCGGAATTTGCCTTCATGGCTGGTACTGAGCTACTTGGGACACTCCTCCCAGACTAGGCTACACTCTCCATGATGGCTGTGTCTGTCCCCAGAGCCCAGCACAGTGCCTGGCACACAATGAGTGTCAAAAAACCTTGTGGCCTGGGCAACAGGATGCGCCTGGCGGCCGTACCTTGTCAAACACACTGTCGTGCAGCGCGGAGGACGCCCTCAGTGTGGTCTTGGTGAAGGCGCAGCCTTTGGTGATGGCAAACACTAGCATGGACACCATGCTCGCGGTGTACACCCACTGGTACACGTGCTGCCCCACGTCTGCCAGCACCGCGTCAACCTCACACACGGTCTTGTTGCCCGGGGGCCCGCAGGTCATCTTTGGAGAAAAACAAGAGAAGCACCAAGAATTGGTAAACTGTCAGGAGAATGGAAATTTTCCGCAGAGAAGAAACTAAAAGGAAATGCATAATTGCTGAGAATGAGTCAGGTGTGTAAAATCAAGTCAGTTCCCCCCGGGGCGGGAGCACTGCCCTGAAATCCCCGGCTGGGGGCGGGAGCACTACCCTGGAATCCCCAGCTGGGGGCGGGAGCACTGCCCTGGAATCCCCAGCTGGGGGCGGGAGCACTGCCCTGGAATCCCCAGCTGGGGGCGGGAGCACTGCCTGGAATCCTCGGCTGGGGGCGGGAGCACTGCCCTGGAATCC